TAATGAAACAAGTTATATGAATTGTTGAATGTGAAACTGATGATGTGCCCTGTAAACTTTCACTCAATCCACAATAAAAACCTTAAATTAAAAAAAAAAAAAAAAAGATATGACTATCTCCAAAAAGTTTATTTCTCCTTATGTGGTGAGCTGAATTACTTAATGCCTCTTGTAGCTATACTCTTTGTAATCTCCCATCAGATGACATTTACCTGATGGGTCTGGGTAGGAGAAGGTAGGGGAAGATGCTGAAGGATTCTGTAATTCAGTTAGGAGTGATTGTTAACAGGTTTATTTTGTGATTACTCAATGTTGCCATCCTGCTGGGTATAAAATGAGCACGCAGAAGTAGGAGGGGCAGACCTCACAACCATCAAAGAGGAGGAGCAAAAAGTGGAGTAACTGCTATGAACAACACTGAATCTCCTTAGAGCAGAAAAGAAAGCTCTGACGCTGGAGAGGAGCAGCAGTAGAACCAAGAGTACAGGATCGAGCAGCCAGCGTCCCAGCCTACCCAATAAGTAAAGCTGAGTGCCTCTGGACAGGAGGCTCAGTTGTAGAATACACTCAACTTAGTTGGGAAGCTAGGTTTGCTAACAGTGGAGCTAGAGCCAACTGCCCTCAGGCTGAGGCTTATGGTGGGGTGGAGCGCCCTTTAGCCATTTATCAACATCCCTAAAAAGAAAAAAAAGGCTTTATAATGCCCTGGTGTGGGGCTATAAGATAAGCACTGGGCCGAAAGGTCAGTTTGAACCACAAGGTTGACAGAACAAACTCACCAACCACTCCGTGGAAACCCTACACAGGGTAGCTATGAGTCAGAACCGACTCAACCGTTACCCAAGGAGGGCAGAGACCAAGCCAAGAGCTGAGGGCCAGAGAGAGGCCTGCCTTCCTGCTTGCCTGCTTGTGGGCACAGCTGAGTAAAGGCCATCTTGACTGGAAGAACTGGGCCCTGATTACTTTGGGTCTTGAATTGTAAAGGTAACTTCCAGGATAAACTCCTTAACTATGCACATACTGTCTAAAATCTGTGTAGCAGCTGCAACAAATTGTCAAACCCAGCTAAGCAGAGAGGGCTGTGGGAAGAATGTTTGGTGTCATTTTTTGGAGCTTATAATTCTATCAATTTTGTTTTGTGTTGCTTTTAAATTCTATCAACTTTTGCTCTGTGCTTTAAAATGATGCTATTTAGTAAAGGTTCAGGCTTGTAAGCATCCCAGGAGCACTGTTTCATGTATCATTATGCAATGGTGTCTTTACCATTTACATTAAGTTTTGGTTTGGGTGTTCTTTGAGGTTTTTTGTCCAGTATTAATATTAATAATTCCCCCCCAGATGTCTTTTAGTGAATATTTCTGTTCTCAGTTAAGGTTTGATCAGAGAAGTAAATCGCTTATGAATGGTAAAACCGGGGTTAGTGGACTGGCTCTCAGTTCTCTAAGTGCTGCTATAATTGTTCTCTCACAGATTAAGAGTCTACAAGTCCAAACTCACAAAGACTCTGTAAAAGCTCCTTGGTCTCCTGTCAGCATCTGAAGCTCCCACCATCCTTGGAGATCTCCACGCATCAATTTCCTCTGGATGTAGAATCTTCACAGTGCAGAGACCGCAGGTCCAAAGACACATTCCAGTCCTGGCTTTTCTTTCCTGGAGGTACTAGGTCCCTCTGAGCTCTGCTTGTTTATTTATTCTTTTATGTATCAAGAGATTGACTCAAGATTCACTTTAACCCTATAGACTGCATCCAGCCTCAGAGCAGTGAAGATTTACATCATGGAGGATAAATCACATCACGGCTGATCACTTCAGACACATCATGGTGGCTGTATGCCATGGAGTCGGTTCCGACTCATAGCAACCCTTTACAGGGTTTCCAAGGCTGTGATTCTTTACAGGAGCAGAAAGCCTCATCTTTCTCCCGTGGAACAGCTGGTAGTTTTGAACTGCTGACCTTGCGGTTCACAGCCCGATTCGTAACCACTACGCTATCAGAGCTCCTTTCAGACACATCATAGAAGTGATTAACTTATATTAGATCTCAATATAGGGAATTATTCTTTAACAATGTAGTCTCAATTGCTAAATCACTGAGACTCCCAACCCAGTCAAATGGACACAAAACCTTAACTATCACAGGATTTAATGGGCAGTTGTGGGAGTTGATTAAGAATTTATGCAATAGTTACTCTGCATTTCATTACAAGACAGAAGTCAGCAGGGCAGGCAATCAGGAAGAACGATGATGTGAAGTGGGGAAGGCCGAGGACAAACTAGAATCCACATCTGTCTCTCACCAACCTCAACAACTATACGTGGACTGCTACGAGAAGCCCACACGCCTGAACCAAAATTGGGAGACTCCTAGAGGAGAAGATCCAGTGGGAATGAGAGGAACGGTAGTAGGCTGTTAACTGAGGCCAGCACAGATCAGCGATAAAGACCATGAACCCAGCAGCACTTGGCACAAGCCTTCAGTACAGAACACAGCTGCTGCTTTCCTTTCACTTTACAAAGCTTGTTCAGATTCCTCTTGCAGCCAACCTAACACAAAACCACACTAGAAAACCAGTTATCAGAAAAGTCATTCCAGCTCAGTCACATTGACACAACAGAGTCACCACAATTTACACGGGATTGCCTTCTATCTCCTTAATTTTATTCTTTCTCTACAATTGTCTTTAGAATCCTGATGTGGCACTATGTAGGATCAGTACTGGATTGCCAACCACAAAGTCAGAGGTTCAAACCCACCAGCTGCTCCTCAGAAACCCTACACAGGGTCTCTGTGAGTCAGAACCAACTCAACGGCAGTTAACAACAAAAAAATTATTCCAAGTCTGTCTTTTGTAATTAGCACATAACAACTCTTCTTTCATCCTATCTGAGATTATCTTTTTTAACTGCCATGTTTAACTCATTTACATTCATCGGGATTTCTGACTTTTATAAATTTAAAGAAAATTAAAGTAATATGTGTACCAAAGATTTAAGTGTTCTTTGCCCTTCTGCAGTATTACACATACCTAACATATTACATACCACTTCTCCAGAAGCAGCAGCCAACATATGCTTCATGGGCATCAGATAGGAGGATACATCGGAGTAAAGAAACCATTTCACATATTCATAGGTGAGAAAAAAGGCAGCCGCTGAAATGGAAAACAAACCAGTCTTTCACCAAGTTTAAGCATATATTTAAACTATTAAGAAATGTGGCATGTTTCTCAAAGGAGCACAACTCTATTCATCATTTAATTGCGAGCTAACAGATAAATTGTTAAACACATATTATCCCCTCAATCGTTCTAATTCTGGCCCTGGACTTACAAAGATGATGAAGACATGACTCCTTCCCTAACAGCTAACCTAGTACTTACCACCTTGTACAGCCACTCCTCAGAAACCTGAGAGAGGGTCACCATGAGTTGAAAATGACTCGATGGCACTTAACAACAACAACAACAGACAACTCAGGAGCCCTGGTGATACATAAAGCTCTCGGCTGTGAACCAAAATGTTGGTAGTTTGTACCCATCAGCCACTTCACTGGAGAAAAGATTAGGTGACAGTTTCTGTAAAGATGACAGCCTAGACACCTACTGGGCAGTTCTGATCTGTCCTTCATGATCACTCTTAGTAGGAACCAACCTGAAGGCATACAACAGCATCAACTGACAAGTCACTTTACATTTCAGTAAGCTCATCACATAAATGGATAAGGCTCAGTGATCCATATCCAAAGTATCATTACACAGTGTTCATAAAGCACTGACTTATCCAACAGTTGTAGAGCCAATTCTGACTCAGGGTGATCCCATGTGCTTCAGAGTAGAATTATAGTGCAGAGAATTTTCAAAGGCAGATCTCCAAGCGTTTCTTCCAAGACACCGCCTGGGTTTGAACTGCCAACGTTTCAGTTAGTAGCTGAGTGCTTAACCATATGTGCTACCTAGGGACTTCGTATTGATTTGAAGACAATTTAAAATGACAAACATACACCTTAACTTACATAAAATACCATCCTACTTTTAAAACAGGGAGCACATTGGCTCCATAGGATAAGCAATGAACTGTGACCCACAGTTCGAGTCCACTAGCGGTTCTGTGGGAGAAAGACGAGGCATTCTGCTCCTGAAAAGGTGTACAGCCTATGAAACCCTACGCAGGGTCACTATGAGTCAGAATTGACTTAATGGCACTTGGCAACATCAGAGAAACAATCAACTATTTAATTAAAACTGAAAATTGAAATCTCTAAATAGCTGCCCCTATCATTATGAAGTACTCTTAGCTGCACAAGAGGGCTTTAGGACCTTCCACGTACTGTTAATCAAAAGGTGTTTATCACTTGTATAAAACATAAGGCATTAAAGACAAAGGAATGACAAATTCATCCTCTGAGGGGCAACTGAGCAAGTCACAGTAAAGTCTGAAAGACTCCTGAAACAGCTTAATAGTGACAACCTGACCTCCAAAGTTCACATCAGCAAACTTGAATACAATACTCAAGTTGCTAACGAATAATAAACACAACATCAAACTATGCTTAACCAACAACAAAGGAAAAAACGTGTCAGAGAAATGTTCAATGTATTGATAGTTTGCCAAAAACCCATAAAGTCTTTTCTGAAACCCTGATATTGTAATCACTTCTCCAGCATATCCTATTCACTGAAATCTGTGTATGGCCAAAAAACTACCAAACGGGAAAACACAGCAAGACAATAAATACAGTCTCATACCACAAAAATTTCAAACCTTACTCTGAATCTAAACCCCTTCTGGCAATGATCTCAAACATTCCTGGGTTCTCAATGACAGATATATACACATACATGCATACATACATACACACATAGGGCTTCAAAAAGTTCATGGAAAAATTTAATTAAAAGATAATGGAACTTTTCCATGAACTTTTTGAAGCTCTCTTGTGTACACATACACACACACACATGTATGTACCACATGACATCCATTCGGCCAACATGTGAGCACACGTGCCTCAGGAGGGCAGGGAGAAGCGGCTGGCTTGGATGAGCACATGAATGCACGGGTACTGAGATGCTGCAGCGGTGCAGACCCCAAGCCACCACCGCACACACACCCTGCAACTTCTCAGCCACAGCAGCCACACTTACCTTAGCTGCTGTTGCCTGGGGTCCTGCCCTCCACCCAACAAGTGGGCATCTGCAGGGAGATGCTAGGCTTCTGCAGCTAAGTTCTGACCCTTGAGGCTTCCAATTCTGATCAACCTCCCTACGGCTGCTTCAGCAGTGTGTGCACCCAGAGGCAACCAACTGCAGGTGCAAGTTGCAAAGGCCAAGGCTCTGAGCATTAATGGAAAGTCAGAGTAGCTTGTGCAGGAGTAACAAATATAGACAAACACATATTCTATATACATACCTGAGTCAAAAAGTAGGGCTATTAAAAATCAAAGAAGCCTTTGTTAAACAAAACACGAAGCTACTGTTTCTCAATATATCCTTTATCTCGGTCTATACTTCCTAAGGCAGTGTTTCCATCTCTCTAACCCTTCCTCGAAGAATTCTGAACTCATCCATTTATACCACTTCAAAACAGCAGTTTTGCCATCCTTAAGGGACTTAAAAAGGAGGCCTGGTAGAGTAGTGGATTACAAATTGGGCTGCTAGCCACAAAGCCAGCAATTAGAATCTACCAGCTGTTCCATAGGAGAAAGATGAGACATTCTTCTCCTGTAAAGATTCACAGCCTTGGAAACCCTATGCAAGGTCTCTATGAGTCACAATCGACTTCACAACATATAGCTAAACAAGGGACTTCAATCATGTTCCTTTTCAATGTTCATTGAGTTTGGGGAACAAAAAAGCCTGAAGGGTCAAACTCAGGACTGCGGAGTGAGTGGGATAAGGTTTCCTAATGAAAATCTCACAGGACAGCCCTTACATTACAAAGAATGAGCAGGTGCATTGTTTTGAAGGGAAAAAATTCCTTGGCACAATTTTCCTGGTCTTATTTTTACTGATGGAGTTTTCAATTATTTTAAAAACTTCTTCTAACAAGTTCCTATGATTGTCCTGTGTTCTTTGAGAAAATCTATTAAGACTACCCCTTTGGAATCTTTAAAAAAAAAAAAAAAAAAGCAATAAAACAATTACCATTACCTTCTGAGCTTATCTCTCTGCTTTGAATGGATTTAATGGACTCAAGGATCCCTTTGGAAGACAATTTTAACTAGACTTTTTTCTTTTTGAAGGTACCCTAATAAGAGTAAGACAAGTATATTACAGGGAAAACTTGTCTGTAGTCATCCACTGCATTACACTCTTTTGTAAGAAGTGTGTGTGTGTGTTGTTGTTGTTGTTGCTGTTAGGTGCCATCGAGTCAGTACCGACTCATAGCAAGCTTATGCACAGCAAAATGAAAGACTGCCCGATCCTGGGCTAACCTCACTACTGTTGCCATGCTTGAGTTCATCGATGCTGCCACTTGGCCAATTCATCTCGTTGGGGATCTTCCTCTTTTTCTCTGACCCTCCACCTTATCAAACATGATATCCTTCTCCAGCGACTGGTCCCTCCTGAAAATATGTCTGAAATAAGAGATGAAGTTGGGTCATCTTGGCCTCCAATGAGCACTCTGGCTGTGCTTCTTCTAAAATGGATCTACTGGTTCTTTTGGCAGTCCATGGCACTTTCAATAGTCTCCTCCAACACCATAACTCAAAAGCATCAATTCTTCTA